GTTAGAGATTGTTCCCATTTAGGGAATGTTTTTTTTCAGATGTGGCAGGCCAGGCCACATTTCCAAAGATTATTAGATGCTATCGACTCCATCTAGGAGTGCCCCGAGGCCAGTCAGGCCATCTGCTGTGGCTTTTGGTGAAAACCATACAGGTGGCCGATAAGAGATGTCTTGATTGGCCCCACGGTGGACGCCAAATATTCTTATCGGAATTTGTCGTGTGGACGATCTTCCGAGTAAGATCGGTGAGCCTCCTTCACGGGTACGCTGGTGCTCCAAGATGGGGGTGGTACGTGCAAAAGAGACTCTGATGCTCAAGTTAGTGTTTGTGGGAGTATGAGTCTCATATAAATAATGCACGTACCTTTGTGTGAATTAGGGATGTGTTGGGCCTTGGGCCTGAGATCTTTTATGATCTGATTAGATAGTAGATCTCGTCTGGAGCGAGATCCCCGAGATCAGTTATGATCTGATTAGATTGCGGATCTCATCTTGAGCGAGATCTCCGAGATCAGTTATGATCTGATTAGATTGAGATGTTTGTCTTGAAGGTGTAGAGACAAGGAAGTTAGTACTAGTGATGGTTCACTTATAAATATTGAAAATGGTTGGTGTAGTGGGAATAATGATAATGTGAAAGGAATAAAGACCAAAGAAAGATTTTGAGGATCATCTACTAGGCCAAAATGTATTCTTGAAAGAAGAAAAAAGAAGAAAACTATGCAACAAGATGAACCTTCCATGAAGAACTTAGATAATGAATTACCTTCATCTAAATTTAGTCAGGTATTCTCTAATTTATTTTACTTTTTGTTTTTCATGCTAATTCATAATCTATATGATAATTTGTAATTGGTATTAAAACTGTATTATTTAGTTTTCCACATATGTTGCCAACAATACATTCATGGATTCAAGTAGTAACATGAGCATGACAGAGTTGTTACAGGTGATAAATTATAGTGCCTTCTATTTTTGTTAGTTTAATATTTTTTTAAATTACATTTGTAAAATGAGGTATATGTATATGTACAGGCAAAGAAGGACAAAATGATCTGTGAAGTAATTTCGTCATAGAGAGTTTTTATAAACATCAAGATGTTTCAATGATTCTAGTTTAAAATTTTGGTTTTATGTATTTTTCAAACTTTGCAAATACACTATTGCAATTTAGATATTTTTCTTGGCCTTGTATCGTAGAAATAAAATTTCTCACTTTATTAGATAATCTTAATATGATCAAATGAGAAATTCATTTGATGTTATTGTTAATGCAAAATAAAAATTATAACAATAAAATAACCTTTGATCTTTTTTATTATTAATGAATTTATAATACATCAATACAATTTTACTAGCTCATATTTGACGTTTACAATTGAGTACGTAGTTTGCAATCTTTACATATCAAAAGTCAAAATGTATTTTAGTCTTCAACAATCACATATAGTTGAAATTCAGAATCTAATGCATTCAGTGATGCATCCTTGTGTGTTTGTAGTCTTAGTGAAGCTTTGTGTTTGGTAAAGGATCCATTGATTTGAGTCTGCCCAATCATAGGAAAAATGTCAAACATTAGATTAAAAACAGAGGAAAAATGTGCGCTTATATATATATATATATATATATATATATAAGCATTGCCATTGATTTGGATCCATTTTATATTCCCAAACCACTAACTGAACTGAACCGCACAATTTTGAAAATAAAAAATCAAGTAAAACCGCTAGTTTTCAACTTTTCAGGGATTTTCAATTTTTTTTATATATTTTTTGATTTTGTGTTTAAATTGTTACTGTAACAGGAGGACCCTATCGGTCACGTGGACCAACACGTCCCATTCCGTCAGACACCCATGCAAATTGGACCATACCTAAAACCTTGATGTTAGCATCGGCTCGGCCTACAGCCGAAGGCCGAGAATAGTCTATTAGCACATATTGGCTCGGTTTAAGGCCGATGTAAACAACATGATGCATCTCCATACACTACCTATCGACTCGGCCAAACGCCGAGTAAGTAAGGTAACTGAGTAAGTGTTTGTCGGTCCGGTCAACAGCCGAAGACGTGCACCTTCTCAAGCCTCTTCCTGTCGGCTCGACAATGCACCGAAAGGTTAAACGGATTATAGTACAAATCACAGTTAACAAGGATAAGTGCATGATTAAGACATGATTAACTGATTAGCATCATATTACCTAATTTGGTAAGTGTCAGAAAAGGAATTTGGTAAGTGTCAGAAAAGGCCCACCATGTTCAGGCCCATGTCAGGTATTATAAATAGGTCACACGTAACGAGGTACGTCACTATTCATTCTTTACCCTAGAAAATCGTGCTTTTCCTGACTTGAGCGTCGGAGTTCCTTTTTCAGGTACCTCCCCCCCTCTGAAGTGTCTACCAGAAGTATCCGTTCGGCCCTTTACCACCTAGAAGACTATGAGTGTACCCTCAAGTAGGTACATTTTGGCACCCACCGTGGGGCCGAACCGATAGCTGTGAAGAGACTTTTTGAAGACATTATGGCAAAGAAAAGAAAAACTACCCTTGAAGCCCACCAGTCCGAGGATGAGCACCCGTCCGGGGCAAACAATGTCGAGACGGTAGAGGAGACAAACTTGACCGACATGGTGCGCCAAATGAAGGAAGACATGGCCGCCATGAAACAGCAACGGGAGAGAGATGTTGCCGAGATGGCTGCGTTGCGAGAGGAGAATGCTGCCCTCAAAAATCAGTACCGGGATCCCACATGGAAACCCTCTGAGATGACCCACACTCAGGGGTCGTTCCATTCGCACGGCCATCACACCTCTATCCCTCACACTTCTGTCGCTGCCCCAGGTGTACATGCTTCGGTCGGTCGGCCGATGCAACCAATACCGGCCGGAGCACACCGACACCCCTTCACACCAAACATTATGCAGTCGTCACTCCTGGACCATTGGAAATCCTTGCCACTCAACAAATATGACGGGACGACTGATCCAGATGAGAACATCGATGTGTTCTTAACCCAGGTCACCTTGAGCACCACAGACGATGCGGCACTCTGCCGAATCTTCCCAACGTCACTGTTTAGTATCCAATTCGCTACTAGCCAACTCGGTCGATTCGTTCAGTACGTTGGCCTCCCAGTTTAGTATCCAATTCGCTACTAGCCGGCCCCACCAGTTGACCTCTTTGGCACTAGTTAGCATCCGTCAGGAGAAAAAGGAGTTCCTTCGGGCGTTCATGAGACGATTCAGCAAGGTGGCGCTTGAAATTCGAGACCTGAACCCTGCTGTAGCTCTGCACCACCTTACCATCACCTTGAAACCAAGGCCTTTCACCAACAGCATTTGTAAGAAACCCCCTACTGACATGGATGACTTGCGTCGGCGAGCCGACAAATACATGCAGATGGAAGAATTGGCTGAGTTCCGGAACCAAGCCCGAGCGGAGGTGTCGGCAAAACCTGACAAGCCGGCCGAGGCTAATTTCTGGAGTCGTCCAAAAGAGCTGATTCCTCGCGAGAAGCCTCCTCGCGGGCCGAGATACTCACAATATATGCCACTCAATACAAGAAGATCAGCCGTCCAAGAGCAAGCACTTGCCTCAGAGGTGCTAGCAGTCCCAAAACGAGCTTCGACCCCTCCCAGGGGTGATACAACAAAGTCTTGCAGGTACCATCGTAATCGGGGGCATTCCACAGAGGAATGCGCAGCTTTGAAAGACAAAATTGAAGACTTAATCAAGCAGGGGAAACTGCAAGGCTACATAGACTGTCCGACCTCATCCCGACACGTCGACCAGTCTCGGCGGCATGATCAGCCCGAGCAGAGGAGAACGGGAACACACTCATACAGGGAACGTAGTCGGTCGAGAGATAGGCGAGAGGAAGAACCTTCGGCGCAACCTTGGCGAGTCATCAACACCATAGACGGTGGATTCCCTGACGGGGGCTCATCCTCATCGGCCCAACGAAGACACCTGCGAGCCGTTCGGCAAGTGCACGCAGTGGAAACAGCTCGTCGCCGCCTTCCCACCATCACTTTTGAGACGAAGAGGGTCATCACTACGATTGGGTTGTCAGTGAGTTTCCTGAGGTGTTTCCAGATGATGTGCCAAGATTGTCACCTATGCGTGATGTTGTGTTTAGCATTGATTTGGTACTGGGTGCAAGACCGGTATTAGTGGCTCCTTATAGGATGGTTCAAGCTGAGTTGGTAGAGCTGAAGAAACAGATTGAGGATTTGTTGGAGAAATAGACAGTGAGGTCCAATGTTTCTCCTTGGGGTGCCCTGGTACTGTTAGTAGAGAAAGATGGTGGAGCCCGTTTGTGTGTTGATTATCGGCAACTGAATAAGTTGACGATAAGGAAGGATTGATGATTTGATGGATCAGATGAGGGGAGCTTCGGTGTTTTGATGATTGATTTGAGATCCGTACCATCAGATCAGGGTAAAGGAGAGTGACATACCGAAGACTATTTTCAGGACTAGGTATGGTCATTGTAAGTACGTAGTGATGCGTTTCGGTGTCACTAATGCTCCAACAGTGTTCATGGATTACATGAACAGGATTTTCAGGTCATTCTTGGACAAGTTTGTGGTGGTCTTCATTGATGATATATTGGTGTATTCTAGATCTTTGGAGGATCACCGTGAGAATCTGAGGTTGGTTTTAGAGGTGCTGAGGGAGAGGTAGTTGTATGCCAAGCTGTCCAACTGTGAGTTTTGGTTGTCTGAGGTGAGGTTTTTGGGGCATGTGATATCGACAAAGGGGATTGCAGTGGATCCAGTCAAGGTGGAGGCTGTGATTCAGTGGGAGCGTCCGAGGACTGTTACGGAGATTAGGAGTTTTGTTTGGTTAACGGGTTACTATCAGAGATTCATAGAGGGTTTCTCTCGAATAGTGGTTAGTGTCTGCATGGCACGTTGATTTGTATGTATCTACTCTGACTTCAATTTCTTTGGTAACATCGGAGATGTGTGTGAGATGCCCAATAGAGGTGTTTGGTAGGAGGTTCTAAGTGAACCTGATTGTGTTGCTCATGGTAGATATTGACATAATCTTAGGGATGGATTGGTTATCTGCCCATCACATCCTTATAGATTGTGCTCGAAGAGAGTTGGTATTTCCTTAGTTGGAGGATGAGGTGTTGTTGTCAGCGGGTCAGGCTGAGTAGTTGATGAGAGATGGAGCTGAGTGTTTCATGTTGTTTGTCATTTTGAGTGTTGAGACGAAGAGGGTCATCACTACGATTGGGTTGTCAGTGAGTTTCCTGAGGTGTTTCCAGATGATGTGCCAAGATTGTCACCTATGCGTGATGTTGTGTTTAGCATTGATTTGGTACTGGGTGCAAGACCGGTATTAGTGGCTCCTTATAGGATGGTTCAAGCTGAGTTGGTAGAGCTGAAGAAACAGATTGAGGATTTGTTGGAGAAATAGACAGTGAGGTCCAATGTTTCTCCTTGGGGTGCCCTGGTACTGTTAGTAGAGAAAGATGGTGGAGCCCGTTTGTGTGTTGATTATCGGCAACTGAATAAGTTGACGATAAGGAAGGATTGATGATTTGATGGATCAGATGAGGGGAGCTTCGGTGTTTTGATGATTGATTTGAGATCCGTACCATCAGATCAGGGTATCATGGAGAAAGTGAAGGAATCATCAATCTCCTCACCTAGTTCCATCAAGCGCTTAAGGAGCCGAGAGGCGTTCAGTCGGTGTCACAGCAATCGGCTATGGACCTCGACCCCCGGATCGATCAAGAAGAGAGGGTAGAACCTATTGAAGACAAGCAATCGATTCAAGTTGGAGCCTCGAACTCCCAGTTTACTTACCTAGGGACCGTCCTCTCTGAACAAGAAAAGAGTGCTATCGAACAAGTAATTCTTGACAACAAAGACTTGTTTGCATGGCTTCCCTCCGACATGCCTGGCATTGACCCGGATTTCCTTTGCCACAAGCTTTCAATCAGTAAAGAGGCAAAGCCGATTGCACAGCGGCGTCGGAAGGCCGGAGAAGAGAGGAAAGCAGCGATCGAAGTTAAAGTATCCAAGCTGCTAGATGCTCGGTTCATCCGAGAAGTGCACTATACGACATGGCTGGCCAACGTTGTCATGGTTCGGAAACCGAATGGAAAGTGGCGTATGTGTACCAATTACACAAACTTGAACAAAGCCTGCCCGAAAGACGCCTACCCATTGCCGAATATTGACCGACTCGTTGATGGAGCATCGGGTCACAAATTCTTGTCTTTCTTGGATGCATACTCGGGGTATAACCAGATCCATATGCACCCCCAAGATGAAGAAAAAATGACATTCATTACTGAAACGGCCAACTACTGCTATCGGGTCATGCCGTTCGGGTTGAAAAACGTCGGAGCCACGTACCAGCGTTTGATGAATAAAATTTTTCATGACCAGATTGGTCGAAGTATAGAAGTGTATGTTGACGAAATGGTCGTAAAATCAAGCGACATCTCCACGCATGTGCGTGACCTGGCTGATGTCTTCCAAGCGCTTCGGCAACATCAGATGAGGCTTAATCCTGAAAAATGCGTGTTCAGGGTCTCAGGTGAAAATTTTTTGGGGTTCATGTTGTCCAACCGAGGCATTGAAGCAAACCCCGACAAATGCCAAGCCATTTTGGATATGAAAAGCCCGGGCACTCTGAAAGAAGTCCAAAAGTTAGCGGGCCGGCTAACCTCACTCTCCCGGTTCCTCCCTCGTCTGGCCGAAGTAGCCCAGCCTATCTTACTTCTACTCAAGAAAACTGAGCGGTTCAGCTAGACCCGGGAATGTGAAGAATCGTTCCAACAGTTCAAGAAACGCCTTAGCGCTCCTCCTATGCTCTCCAAACCGATCGGTGACCTCGATGTGATTGTTTACCTAGCCGTTTCAAGCTATTCTGTGAGTGTCGTCCTGGTACAAGAAAACCAAGGTCATTAGCAACCTGTGTATTTTATCAACCGGACGTTGTAAGACGCCGAGCGACGCTATCAGCTGTTAGAAAAGGTGGCCTTAGGGCTCATCTATGCCGCCCGACGATTAAGACTACTTCCAAAGCCATAGGATAGTAGTCCGAACTGACTGCCCGGTTGCAAAGGTCCTCTCCAGAAACCAAAAATTGCCAGCCGGATGATGGCATGGTCGGTCGAACTCTCAGAATTTGACATATCTTTCGAGCCAAGAGGACCGATCAAGTCACAACATTTGGCTGATTTCGTTAACGAGCTTACTCCTCCGGGATGTTTTGAAGACGAGCCGTGGACCATGCATGTTGATGGATCCTCTAATGCCCAAGGCAGTGGCACCGGCGTAATTCTTGCTAGCCCCTCAGGTATCACCGTCAAACAATCCCTTAGGTTCGGCTTCCGTGCATCCAAAAATCAGGCAGAGTACGAAGCCTTGATAGCCGGAATGAGACTAGCAACCGAGATGGGCGTCAAGAAAATCATATGCTGGACTGACTCTAAAATTGTGGCCGAACAGGTCAACGATAACTTTCAGGTCAAGGACTCCAATTTGTTGCAATACTATCACCTCTTCCAAAAGCTCAAGGACGCTTTCACCGAGGTACAGATACGACACGTCTTGCGTAGCAACAATGAACGAGTCGATCAGCTAGCTCGGCTCGCCAGCAGCCGAAAGCCAGGACAGTTGCGCACAACCATTCACCTTGAGATTCCTTCCCCAAGTGTGACGGTTGAGTGTATGGCAACCGGTACTGAGGTGCCGACCTAGATGACAGCCATCCAGAACTTTATTATCCGAGGGGAGTTGCCAACCAACCCGATGGAAGCAAAAAAGTTACGAACACAAGCGGCTCGGTACTCCATGGTGGCCGATGAACTCTATAGGCGGGGATTCTCCATCCCGCTGCTCAAATGCATCGACAATCACCAAGCTGACTACGTAATAAGGGAAATACACGAAGGTATCTGCGGCTCCCATTTAGGGGGACGAACTCTGGCAACCAAAGTCTTGCGTGTCGGCTACTATTGGCCAACTCTGAAAGGAGATTGCGCCGAGTTCGTTAAAAAGTGTGTGCAATGTCAAAAGCATGGAAACCTCATCCATGCTTCGGCCGCAGAGTTGCACAGTATCAGTTCCCCATGGCCGTTTGCTTTATGGGGTATAGACGTGCTCGGACCGTTCCCTATAGCAAAGGGGCAAGTTAAATTCCTTCTCGTTGCGGTGGATTACTCTACAAAGTGGATAGAAGCCGAACCGCTCGCCTGCATCTCCGCTGCCAATGTTCAGAAGTTTGTTTGGAAAAATCTGGTTACCCGCTTCGGCATCCCGTACGCCATTGTTTCGAACAATGGTCTTCAATTCACCGACAAAAAATTCAACATTTTCCTCGAAAACCTTGGCATTCGGCATCGGTTCACATCAGTCGAGCATCCGCAGTCAAACGGGCAAGCCGAAGCAGCCAACAAGGTTATACTCACTGAGCTCAAGAAGAGACTCGGCTCGGCCAAAGGAGCATGGGCTGAAAAGTTACCGGAAGTCCTGTGGGTATACCGATGCACGCCACAATCAACTACCAAAGAAACGCCTTTTCGCTTAACGTACGGCGCGGACGCGATGATCTCGGTTGAAGTGGGAGAACCGTCCTTCAGGCGACAACATTTCCATGAGGAGTCTAATGACAGCTCACTCCGAGCCGAACTCGATGTTCTCGATGAAGTACGAGAGAGGACACAGGTAGTGACCGAAGCATGCAAACAACGCATGACCCGACGCTTTAATTCCAACCTAAAGCCGAGGACATTTCATGAAGGAGATCTCGTATGGAGAGCAACCGGTTCGACAAGGCGCAACCCTTCTGAGGGAAAACTCGCAGCCAATTGGGACGGCCCGTTTCGGATACGGCATTCCCTCCACAATGGAGCTTACAAGTTAGAAGAACTGTCCGGCAAGGTCATCCCTCGGACATGGAATCCTACTCATTTGAAGACCTATTACAGTTAGAATTTAACTAATGTACATCTGAAAATGTATAATGATGCACTCTTTTCCTTGAACCGGTCTTTTTTCCTCTTAAAAAATTGTGAAAAGAGGTTTTGACCGGCAAGCTTTTTAACGAGGCATCCACTCAATCAATAACAAGACAGTTCAACCATCTATGACTTGTACATTATTGCGATTTTATTTCATATTACAAGTCTTCCCTCCCGAGAT